AACACTAAGAGATTATTATCGCTGGTTCATAATAAGCTTTGTATTTCATTATTATTAGTTGTCCTTTGGGTTCCTAGTGGAACATAGGGCTTCAGTAGTACGTTGCCATTTCACCCTGTTCTCTGCAATCTTTTGAACCTGGCTCCACAACCACCCATAAGCTTTCATTTCTTTCTCACACCACCTCGCCTAGTCAACTAGTGAACTGGTTAACTAGGCAAGGTTTCAGCCAACTTGTAATTATTGTATTCAATAAGTTTCGCGTCACATCCATATTTCAAGTTGTTATTCATCGAAGACTGACATCAGTTGGAGGAACAAAGGAAACCTGGGAGCACTGGACAGCTGTTTCGTCCTAGTATGGGACTCCTCAGCAGTGCGCACCCACGACCCCACCAGCAGGGATCGAACCCGCGACCTTCAGGTTCCGCGACCAGCGCGTTACCATTGAGCCACTGGGTCAGAATCCAATGCTCCATATTTCCAACTTCTGTTAGCTCTTCGATGAATAACAACTTGAAATATTTCCAAATCTCCACAACCCCCTCAAAATTTAATTGAACTAGTGCTCGTTTGTGACTAGCTTTGAGAAGTATTCCCGAAGTTCCAATGACAAGTCGTGACCGGTGGAGTCAAAGCCTGATGGCCGTGAGGACAAATACTCAACGATGACATTGGGTGGCGGTTTGCGCTATATCGTGAGCTAACAGAAGTTGGAAATATGGAGCATTGGATTCTGACCCAGTGGCTCAATGGTAACGCGCTGGTCGCGGAACCTGAAGGTCGCGGGTTCAATCCCTGCTGGTGGGGTCGTGGGTCCATATTTCTTGAAATAAAACATATCAGGCAAACAGTGTTTTAAAATGATAGAGTCCCAGAGCAGGAAAGCATTTTTTCACTACCTAGGATATCATCCAAGTCTTTTGTTAAACCAGCTAGCAAACGTAGTCATTGATGTATTTTTAGCCGTCGACTTCTTTTCTAGCTTCTCTACTGGATTAACGGTGATAGAATTCTTTTCATGTTTTGTTATTCTATTTGTCTCTTGCATATCCTTAAGACTAAACCTCTTTGTTTATGTGTATGTATGTATGTCTATTATTACGAAATGTGCTGAGCATAGGTATATGGTGTGGTATGGCCACGAGGCAATCACTTGTTGAGGAAAGTTGTTCTTTTATCTCTGTTATGTGTAGGTTTGACAGAAAAACGATAAGTAGTTCATGATATCTTGTGATTATCTAGTGAGACTATCCCGTTTTTATTCGGTCTATAGAAGGTAGTGATTACGTAATCGTTATTGTTCTTAGTTTTCTCTTCGAGGTTTTTGTAAATGCTTTCTCTTATCGTCATTGTACTACTTGGTGTTAACCGTATACCATTCAAACCTGATTTTTTTAAAAAATGGATCATGTTTCTGTCGCTCTTCTTGGAGCACATATTTGAACTATGATCATGTTTTAGTTTGTGTTGAGTTGATTTTGCTTTCTCATGGTCACCAAAATCATCTTCATAGACAGATCAACGTGAGCAGATTGGTAGCCAATAAATGCCATACAGAGTTAGGATCAAAGGTTACTGTTGAATTCTCAGAAATTATGAATAGGTAACTGCCTGAATCTATAGGAGGCCATTTGTTGGAGCTATGGGTTATTGGTCTAGTCACTGGATTTCCATACAGTGAGTTCCAGAGTCGAACCCTGTTCCATCTACTGAGGTCCGAGTAAGCGGATTTTATCACTAGACATCACGTAATAGATATGTTTCCTTGCATTTTTTGAGAGCATGGTTTTGGTTGCTGACCTGCTTTTCGTTTTTCACAAGAGGATGTAAAAATTGTGAGTAAATCTGTTTGCATCTTCGAAGAACTCTCCTGTTTAGATGATAAGTAACTGTGAACTCCCTGAAAATTCATTACGCTCTTCATTGTCTGATGAATAGTTGATCTACTCGTATGTGTTTGGTCTTTAGGTGACAGATAACGTAGCACTTACCTATGGTTCACAAGGCCTGGTGATCATAGCGCCCAATCGAAATGGAAGCAATGGTTGCATCTTCAATATTCAGAGACTAATGAAGTCCATCTGAGCTACTGCTTGCCAGAAACGCTGCATCAGTGAAAGGGTCTATAAAATATATGGTCCACCAAAAGCGTTAGATAGAGAACCTTGAAAAGAATTTGGTTGACTCTTTTAATAACAATCTAAATGTCTTGTGCTCCACGGAATTGAGGTTAGATAGGAGAACAACAAGTTCGATAAGGCACTTTACCCACACTGATTACCACTGTCTTCCTTTTAAAGATGATGAGACTGTAGTCAGTGGATTGATCAGATTCTTTTGAAATTTATGGGAAACTCAGGTTATTCCTTCTTTCTAGAATGAGACCATCGTTCTCCCAACCTTTAAAAAGGATCCACTTAATGTATGTGACACTTATCTGGGAGTCACTATGATACTACTAGCGTCTAAAATACTGGCTGCTATTATATCCCATAGATTCTTCAAAATGGATCAAGAGTTGACCCCTAGTGAGTAAGCTGCACTTTGTTCATCTTGTGATGCCTTGCTCACGTGTTCATCTTCCGTTCGGTCTTCGAACGCCTTGGTACCACCGACCAGCAATCTTTTTGTTTGTTGATATTAGGACTGCATTTGAACCATTGGACAGGTCTATGCACTGGAACTTTATGTTTATAACGGGAATTACTGAAACGTTCGTTAGCATCTCAACCCTCCTGTAAAAAAGCATCACAGGTAGGGTGTAGACCTACAAGCTGTTCTCTCTGCTGTTCCAAAGGAATATTGAGGTTATGAAATGTTGAGTGATTTCGTCAGCTCTCTTTACCTGTGCCATCGATTACGTTTTCTATAAGAATGTGCGTCTTGGTAATCTGCATTTACTGCAAGGTCAAACTTTTCATTTTCCAATATCCTGACGACATCGTTCTGCTATGGGAAAATATAAAAACTATTCAAATGGAGCTTTATCAACTGTTGATCAGTGTTCAAAATGTGTGGTATGCTGTGCATCACACCATGGAAGCGCAAAATTCTTTCAAACGATTTGCAGGAGCCTATCAGGAAGACAGTTAAAATTACCGTAGAACCTCACACAGTAGTGCATCGATTCCGTTCTCAACACTCCCCAACAGCGTGCAAAGAACAAGTGGATAAAAAAAGAGTGATACAATAATAGACACAAGTGTCATTTGAGGAGAACGAAATAAGCATTTTGAGATACGATAGAGTGAATACGTGTGAATCATTGTGAGTTTTTCAGCCATGTTACCAAGAATTGTCAGTTGTTGATTCTTAACTTAAGGAATATAGCCAAGTACTACATGTCTCCACATACGCTTCAGATCTATGGTTGAAGACTTAGTGAATTTATCCCACCTATTGATCTGATCATCCTGAGCCTTCTAACAGAATCGTTCTTCGGGTAACATTGTACGTTGAGGTAGGCGTTGGCTTGACATGCGAAACACATGTCCAATCTACTTCAGTTAGTGTAGGTTCGTGATATTTTCTGACCTGCCTCTGTTATCTAGTTTCCTTCGCCTAACCCAGACATAGCTTACACGATAATTCCGCCATGCGTGAGCACTGCTGTGAAATACCTATGGTCATTAACACGTAATCTCTTCCTATTTCCTTCTTATCCCATAGCCACATCTCTCAACCAACAATATAACGTGCATAGAGAACCGATGGACAGCACACTCGTCCTTTAATACTTAGTCAGATATCTAACCGGTGCCAAATATGATGAAAGTTGGCAATTGTTAGGCGGGCTTTTAGTATCCAGTCTGAGACTTCGCCATGGACGAAGCCATTCGGGCTGGCGTAGTCGGTTCACGCATTCTACTACTTCACTCCCTTTCTTTAAACTGAAGGCAACCGCGGATTAGTGCTGAATCAGCATCATCTTACATTTGATGGGTGCGAAACGCCTGCCAAACAAACTCAAATTTTAGCTAGGCAGGAAAATGTCGTTTTCAAGTCAACCAGTTGCCCTTCAAGGAGAAAGTTATTTCTGAGCAGTTGGAATTACATACAGTTTTGTCCATTAGCTCATCTCTGACAAAGTTGAACAGAAGTGTTGACAGTCGGTATTCTTGGTGGGTACCGTTGGTTTTTGTCACATCACGTAACAACTCTATATGAACACTTACATGGCTATGTAAGTTCGATTAGGGAGCTTTTATTAGCTTTAAATACCTGATTAGAAGACATGCAAATTTGGTGGGTTCCTTCCCAATTCATGATAATGTTGACATAAAGTTGCGAATTAATTCGGTTTCAAGTCAATTTTTATCGTTCTGAACGGAATAGTTAGTCTGTGTCTGATAACTGTGTAGACAGTAGTCAATGAAATGGATAAAGGTTAGTGAGAATGTTCCAACTTTTAAGTATACCAAAGAGTGAATACATTTGCGCCATTGTGAGTGACGAATTTTCAGGTGTTTCGCCGTGTCTGCAAACAATTGATTCCTACCATATGGGGATGGCTGTAGCTAGAGACACTACATTGGAACTGTCACTCAATGGTTTAGAGGGTTGACTTTCGAACAATGGGTCACGAGTTCGAAGCCCACTCCACTTGGAGTGGTTTAAGGAGCCGGATAGCATCATCAGTAACACTTAAACAGTAGGTGTGACTCGGATGTGCATTTCGATTCCAGGCACTGCACACCTCCACACTTGGTTCAGAGTCAGACAGTCAACTTCATGGACTGACTAACTGATAGCTATTGGTTCATGCAGTTGTATCCGACAGTTGTCAGCATGAACTATAGATTTGTACACCAACCAGTAAAATGTCCAGTTACTTTTTCTACTTTTGTGTAACTGTATAATTTGCACATAAATCAATTTACTGCACCAAATAACTTTACATTTCGATTGTATGAATTTATTAAGTAGCACACGTTTCTTGATTTGAAAAAAAAGTTTCCAGTTTTAATTGCTTCTTTCTTCCTTTTTTTCAATTTTAGAGAATGGTTCTTTAAACTTTCCACAGAACTTTTAAATCCGATGTATTGTCTATTTGAATATGCCAGTGGTAATAATTACGCATTGCAAATTAATCCAGCTTCTTCAGTCAACCCTGAACACTTGGAATATTTTCGGTAGGTGAAAAAATTCTAGTTGTCTGATTCTTATCACACTAAGAGATGGGAGGGGATTGTAAAGATCACGGTCTTTCATATTCTTTTTGGTAAATGATCTTTTATGTGTTTTTCTTGATTCATTGGTTTGTAATATTCTACTTACAGATGATGAATCGTAGGTTCAAATCCCGTTCCACCCATTTCGATCTGGGTAACCCGATCGTATTATAAGTCTTCACACAAAGAGTTTGGCCAATAGCTTAGCTCATAAACACAATAACCGAGCCGGGCAACTTGAATTTACCAGGCTATATTTCGCAAATGATAAAAAAATGTACTGACCGGGATAAATTGGTACCTATTATAACGGTAAATTGGAAGTGTGTGCTTGTGAGAGACGGAGAGAAAGCTGATCCTACTGTAATTATGTCAATGTTAACTGTGTCTACAGATTCGGCTGTGTCGATTGTGATGCTTACTATATTGAGTAATCATCTTGCGAGATCCTTAATCGTGTTGAACAACATGCGAGTTACAGAAAACCACCTCCAAATAATCATATAGAACTGGGGAATTTTCTAATCAAATCTCCAAGCGTTATTCATGCCATCTACCACGGTCACAAAAGAAAGACGGTGATAGCTTGGGCCTTTCACAATGTACTGAATCTGCATGCATCCATAGTTACTGGATGCATAACTGGAGCTAGAGGACAGCAAACTCGAGGAAACCAGACAGCTTTCAGATCTGGACGATAGTCCATCGGTCATATTCTCACTCTCCGTAAGTTTCTAGAATACAGGGATACCTACCAGTAACCAACACATGCCATATTTCTTGTCCTGAAGGCGGCATTTGACTCTGTTGATTGTGAGATGTTGTGCCAGTGTCTGACTGCGAAGGGAGTGCCGAACAAGTTTATAATGCTTATCAAAGCTCTCCATTCGAATTCGTGCATCGATGTAAGGGCTTATGGATAGTCGTCATATGAATTGACGACGACTCGTGATGTCCACCTGGAGTACCCACTGTCACCATTCCTACTTAATTCGGCTATAGACGTACTAATGGACCTTGTGAACGCATTGAACAGAAATCTGAGTATGTTCGACAAGCTTTTCACACTTTTTGTGAGTTGTAAGTTGATGCTGCAGGACTGGTCTAGTGCAAGTACTCCCAGTTTAATGATAGGGAGTGAAGTGGTGGAATGTATCTATCACTTCGTTTACTCACGGAGTGTCATTACCCCGAGCAGGCTGTTTGCTGACGAAATCTCAACTCGGATACAGAAGTCCCGTTTGGTAGAATCACTGTGTGAGCAATGTTGAGGTTAGGCGAAGAGTACTAGGGAAGACAGTTAAGTTTACTAATGAGGTTGTGAACCTTCATCGGCTTGGACATGTACTGTGTATGCTGACCCACCACCTACCTCGATGTGCCATGCTAGTGGATGTTCGATTAGGTTGGGAGCGGGTTCAGAGTAACCAGACCAAGACATGGCACCAGTTAATGAAGTCCCTCACTATCGGCCTGAGGAGTGTGGGTAGATGTAGACTACCTGGTTGGGGTCCGCGAGATGAAAGGAGTCAGTGGTTGACTACTCTTGGTGGCATAGCTGAAAATTGGTCACACTTGTTCGGATGGATTCAATCATTACCACCTTCTAAAGTTTGAGTGTTCGCGCTAACCGTTATCTTCAAATTGTTTATCCTTCTACACTGCTTTATTATTTACTTTGATGTCACTCTTTTTCTATCCACTTGTTTTTTGTATACTACTGTGAAGTGTGGCAACTTGAATCGATGCACATGTGTGCTAGGTTGTACTTTAATTTTATCGGTCAGTCAACAGAAAGGAAAGTTTAGCTAAGTTCGACAGTATATCTGAAGTAACACGTTGTACTCACTGCCCATCACCAAAGTACATGCACACAAACAAACTAAATTTTCCATGCATAGTATTTTTTAAATATTGAATACAAGATCCCAAGGTTCATTGTTATCCTACGCCTAATTATAGCTGAAAAACAGCAAACTCGAGAAAACCATGCAAGTTTCATAACTAGGTCATATTTTTGCCCTCCAACAAGTTCTGGTGCACAGGCATACCTACTGGTGGCCCGCACGTCCCATATTTGTTCACCTGAAGGCTGCGTTTGACTTTGTCGACTTACGGACTAATAACTGATAACGATGACTCTCATTTCCATCTTATTATCTTGTATGAACCACGTGATCTCGTTTTTCGCCATTTATTATTTAAACATGAGATAACGTGTAACGGTTTTTAATCTCTGAAGTAGCTACTTCCATGAGGTCGTGAGACGTCATCGGGGTTTTCCAAATATATTTCATTTATAATCCATTTACTCAACTTCTTCAACTCCTTGGAAAAATTATGATCCTAAATCCTATCAACTCATGGAGACTCAAGAATCAAATAGGAACAAAAAAATAGATCAGCAAGATTAAGGAGCTATTTTTGATCACTGTTATTACTAACTTGATTGTGGCTAGCAGTGGAATCCATAGTGCGCGTTTCATCCTGTGTGGGACTCGTCGGCCGGATGTACCTAGACTTCAGTAAGTGATATTCCCTCTGAGCCCCGAACCTCTTACTCATCGCTTCAAACTGTAAAGCATTATTTACTGAGGCACGCTAGCCACCTCTTATGAAACGGGCATTAATTATTATCATTTGTTGATGCTTGTAATTCTCCTTTGCTATACTAAATCAAATTGATCTATCTCTGTTAGCATATGAGTTCCTTTGTGGATGCCTAGTCGATAACCCTTTCATATTTGAAGCGTTGGGTGCAAGGTTTGAATCCCACGCGGAATAACTTTACTCATTGGGGTGCAGGTGTATCCGGCTGGCGCGTTGCAAATAGGACGAAACGCGCATCACAGATTGCACTGCTAGCCACAACCAATGTAAACCATAAGAATAAATATTCAGGCAATTTCAAAGTGTCTGCACAGAAGCCCATTTGCCAGTAAAGATCGGTTGATTCGATCCAGTATAACAACGGTGAGTTATCATTATTTTATTATTATTTATCCCTTAGGTTTCTAATGGAACATAGGGCTTCAGTAGCACGTCTCTAATCTGCTCTGTTCTCTGAAATCTTCTGAACCTGGCTCCACGACAGCCCACAAGCTCTCATTTCTTGCTCACACTATCTCCATGTCACCCTCGCCTCGGACACCCAACCGGTCGTTTCCCATCTGGGTTCCACTTGAGGGCTTGGTGTGTGATGTCTCCGAATAGTTTTCTCAGTATATGGTCAATCTAATCCATCTCCACTTTCTTCTGCCTATTTGGTGAGCGATAGGTTCTTGGTCGGTTCGTTGCCAGTCAACCAGAGTTCCTTGTTGCTTATTTTCATTATTCTGGTCATCTGATCTTCAGTAACGAGTCAGCGTAGGCAGTTGTTGGTGAATATCTGTAGTTTGCTGGAAATACCTCTCGTAACGCGCCAAGTCTGTGAGCAATACAGAAGCGCTGACTTGACACTGGTGTTGAAAATCTGGATCTTATTCTTTACGCTGAGTGCAATAGATCTCCACACTGGTTTCAAGTCAATGAACGCCTGTCTTGCTGGCTTTCCGATCATGGTTTTGACATCCTCATCTGTGCCGCCGCCTGTAGTTGAAACGATGCTGCCTAGATAGGTGAAGAGACCACCTCCTTTAAGTTTCTCTCGTTAATGGTGATTGGTGCTTGTTGTTGTTGTTGGTTGGGTATCTTCATCACCTCTACCTCTGTCTTCTCTATATTCACTTGAAGTCCCGTTTTCGCTGCCCTGCCTCTTCTGCGAACTTGTTAGTTTTCACCTGTAGATCTTCGAGTTTGTGCGATATTAGACAAAAATCATCATCGGTGAAATCCAAATCCCTAGGGTCTTTTCATCGGTTCAGCGTATACCCGTCTTCTCGCTCCTCACAGCTTACCGCATGATCCAGTCGACCACAATCACGAAGATCATCGGTGATAGTAGGCAACCTTCTCTTACTGATGTCCCCTGTCTTCACTTCAAAGGCATCACTGAGCTTTCCATTTTGAATCACTTGGCTTGTGACATCTTCGTATAGCTGTTGAATGAGGTTGATAAAGGTTTTGGTATTCCGTAGTGTTGAAGCAGCTGCCTGCCAAATTACTTCTCGGTCGACGCCGTCGAAGGCCTTTTCAAAGTCGATGAATTTGAGTTGGCGAGTTGACTGCCATTCTACACTTTGTTCTTTGATGATGCGTAGCGTTGCGTTGTAATTTGATCCGCACGTGACTTGTTCTTCCTGAAGCCAGCCTGTTCCGGTCGCAATTTTGAATCCAGGTCATCCTTTAGTTTCTCCAGGATGATGCGGCTTAATATTTTGCTTGCGGTGGGTAAGAGTGTGATTCCGCGCCAGTTCTTGCAAACACTTAGGTCGCCCTCCTTCCAGTCGCCACGTACTTCTCCTTCCTTCCAGACCTTCTGCAGTAGTGGTGTGAGCATGTCTTCTGTTGTCTCTGAGTCTGTTTTCAATGCTTCTGGTGGAATTCCATTTGGTCCTGATGCTTTCCTGAGTTTCGGCAGTTTTATGGCATTTAGAACTTCAACTTTCATCGGAGGGCTTGTGTTCACTGGTAGTTCTGTGTCTGGGCTGCAGGTGGTATTTTCGGAAGAAGTGCAGGTGGTGGTCGATTCAAGAGATTTTGAAGTAGTCAGCCCATCGTTCCCTTTGTTTCTCTTCTTTGGTAACTGGCTTTCCTTCACCATCTTTCATTGGTTTCATCTGTGTTGATCTCTTCCTAGATAGTAACCTGGTTATTTGATACAATGTTGTCAGGTCTCTCCTACCAGCAGCAGCCTGTTCTGCTTCACTTGCCAGTGTATCATGGAAGTATCTTTTGTCTTTGCACACACTCTTCTTCACTTCTCTATCCATTGTAGTGTCTTTTAGGTTGTGTTCAGTTCCTCTTTTTGTTGTGCATCCGTGCACTGATTTATTTTCTGCTTCACCATCCTCCTCTCCTCTATCAGTTTCCATGTGTCCGTTGAAATCCATTGCTTGTCTTGCATCTTCTTTCTTCCTAACACGGCTACGCAGGTTTCTTTCCACATCTCTTTCAAAGAGTTCCAGTGTTCTTCCACGCTTGTTCCTTCTGGGATGTTGCTCAATGTCTCCCATTTTGTCCTGATGACTGACTAACGTGAAGATGTCCTTTGTAGTTTCTTCCTTCAGTTCATTTTCTGTTCTGGGTAGTGAACATGAACTGTGGTCTATCACCAACTTCTTTGAAGGCTTTTAACTTGATTTTGAAGGTTCATTGCACTAGATAGTGAGTGGTCTGAACCTACATCTGCTCCTCTTCTTGATCTGATCTTGTGTCCAGTAGGCTGCGTCTCCATTTTCTTGAGATTGAGATAAAGTTGATCTGATTTTTAGTGTGTCCATCTGGTGAAATCGAATCCATGTCGCTTTGTGGATATCCTTGTGCTTGAACAATTCTCCATTCTCGTTCATCACCTGACCGAGCGCTTCCCGGCCCATGGTTAGTTCTCTTCCTGTGTTGTCCCGTACCAGTTTGACATTCATGTTACCCATTAGAATTTTGATATCGCCAACTGGAGTGCTATCTTGTCCAGTGTTGATTGCAGTTGTCTGTAGAATTCCTCCTTTTTCTCTTACTCTGCATTATTTGTAGATGTATAGCGTAGCATTGAATGATTGTGACTTTCCTTCCTTTTGAGTTGAATCTTGCTGTCATGATCCTGATACTGGAGGAGATTGTTTCCCACTGCATGAGAGACAGCTTTCGATGTTCTTGGGGACATCATGATAGCCACTCCACAACTCAGTGTGCTCGTGGTTTTCGTCTGAGTGACAATATCGGAGTAGATTATTGATTCTCCAGTTGACAGTTTGGAGACTCCACTTCCATGCCATCTACTTTCGCAAATTCCTAGCACATCAATGCTATACCTCCTCATCTATTTTGCAATCTGGGCAGCCTTGCTAGGTTCATACATGGTGCGGACATTCCATATCCCCATGTTTACTTTCACTTTCATCGAGATAAGAGAAGACACATCGGCCAATTGGCTTTCCGATGGCTTTCACCAACCGGCATCATTTCGCCCCTCCGATTCCAGAGAGAAATAATTTTGTTTTCATTTTTTATATTTTGTTTGTGCTTTGAAGTTTCTTTAGTGGTTAGATTTGTTTTACGGGGTAGGGTTGCTAGCCCTATGCCCAACCTTCCCTCTTTACCCGGGCTTAGGACCGGCTAGTAACTAGTGAACTAGTTAACCAGGCAAGGTTAACGGTGAATTATAAGTATCAACAATTAATGATATGGTAATGATTGAGGTAACACATCCTTCCTTCGACCTTCAACATAGTCGGTCACTTGTAATTTGGATTTTAACGGTCAGCGTATTTATTTGCACCAATTAAAGTAATGCTGCAACCTCGCCTGGTTAACTAGTTTACTAGTTACTAGCCGGTCCTAAGCCCGGGTAAAGAGGGAAGGTTGGGCATAGGGCTAGCAACCCTACCCCGTAAAACAAATCTAACCGCTAAAGAAACTTCAAAGCACAAACAAAATATAAAAAATGAAAACAAACTTATTCCTCGCTGGAATCGGAGAGGCGAAATGACGCCAGCTGGTGAAAGCCTTCGGGAAGCCAATTGGCCGATGTGTCTTCTCTCCCCCGATGAAAGCGAAAGTAAACGTGGGGACATGGAATGTCCGTACGATGTTTGAACCCAGTAAGGCAGCCCAGATTGCAAAGGAGATGAGAAGGTATCACATCGAAGTGCTTGGGATTTGCGAAAGCAGATGGAATGGGAGTGGACTCTCCAAACTGTCAACTGGAGAATCAATAATCTACTCCGATATTGTCACCCAGACGAAAACCACGAGCACACTGAGTTGTGGAGTGGCTATCATGATGTCCCCAAGAACATCGAAAGCTGTCTCTCATGCAGTGGGAAACAATCTCCTCCAGTATCAGGATCATGACAGCAAGATTCAACTCAAAAGGAAGAAAGGTCACAATCATACAATGTTATGCACCTACAAATAATGCAGAGCAAGAGAAAAAGGAGGAATTCTACAGACAACTTCAATCAACACTGGACAAGACGTCAGTTGGCGATATCAAAATTCTAATGGGTAACATGAATGCCAAACTGGGAGGGGACAACACAGGAAGAGAACTAACCATGGGTCGAGAGGCGCTAGGTGAAATGAATGAGAATGGAGAATTGTTTGCAGAATTCTGTGCATTCAACGATTTGGTGACTGGAGGCAGTGTGTTCAGGCACAAGGATATCCACAAAGCGACATGGATTTCACCAGATGGACACACTAAAAATCAAATCGACTTTATCTCAATCTCAAGAAAATGGAGACGCAGTCTACTTAACACAAGGTCAAGAAGAGGAGCAGATGTAGGTTCAGACCACTATCTAGTGCCAGGAACCTTCCAAATCAAGTTGAAAGCCTTCAAGGAAGCTGGTGATAGACCTCAATTCAAGTACAACACTAGGAAACTGAAGGATGAAACTACAAAGGAGATCTTCAAAGCAGCCATCAAGACAAAATGGGAGACATCGAGGAACATCCCTGAAGAAACCTGTGTGGAAGAACACTGGAAGTCTTTGAAAGCTATGTGGAAAGAAACCTGCACAACAGTATTAGGAAGGAAGAAGAAAGAAGACAAGGAATGGATCTCGACGGATACCTGGAAGCTAATAGAGGAGAGGAGGATGGTGAAGCAGAAGATAAACCAGTGCATGGATGCTCAACGACAAGAGGAACTGAGCACAATGTATAAAACACTGGACAAAGAAGTGAAGAAGAGTGCACGCAAAGACAGAAGACACTTCTACGAAACACTGGCAAGTGAAGCAGAACAGGCTGCAGGTAAGAGAGACCTGACGACACTGTATCAAATAACCAGGTTACTATCAGGGAAGAGATCAACACAGATGAAACCAATAAAAGATGAAGAAGGAAATTTAATTACGGAAGAAGAGAAACAGAGGAAACGATGGGCCGACCACTTCAAGAAGCTCTTGAATCGACCACCACCTGCACTTCGTCCAGAAATACCACCTGCAGCCGCTGAATTACAAGTGAACATAAATCCTCCAACGAAAATGGAAGTCCTGAACGCCATAAAGCTACTGAAATGCGGGAAAGCAGCAGGACCAGATGGAATACTGCCAGAAGCACTGAGAACAGATGCAGAGACAACAGTAGACATGCTCACACCACACCACTATTGCAGAAGGTGTGGAAGGAAGAGAAGGTACCTGGCCAGTGATTGGAAGAAGGGTTACCTTGTCAAACTGCCGAAGAAGGGAGACCTCAGTGCTTGCAAGAACTGGCGCGGAATCACTCTCCTGTCCACCCCAAGTAAAATATTAAGCCGCATCATCCTGGAGAGGCTTAAGGATGCACTGGATTCAAAACTACGACCGGAACAGGCTGGCTGAATTCAGGAAGTACAGATCATGTGCTGACCAAATTGCAACACTTCGTATCATCATAGAACAGAGCATAGAATGGCAATCAGCTCTCTACCTCAACTTCATCGACTTTGAGAAGGCCTTTGACAGCGTCGACCGAGAGGTAATTTGGAAACTGCTTCAATACTACGGAGTACCGCAAACCTTTATCCGCCTCATTCAACAACTATATGAAGATGCCACATGCCAAGTAATCCACAATGGGAAGCTCAGTGATGCCTTTGAAGTGAAGACAGGAGTGAAACAGGGTTGCCTACTATCCCCCATGATATTCCTTATTGTGGTAGACTGGATCATGCAGCAAACAGTAGGCAGCGAGAAGAGGGGGATACACTGGACGACGGAAAAGAACCTAGAAGACTTGGATTTCGCCGATGACTTATGCCTAATGTCACATAAACTTGAAGATCTGCAGGCAAAAACTAACAAGTTGACAGAAGAGGCAGCTAAGACGGGACTTCAGGTGAATATAGAGAAGACAGAAGTGATGAAGATACCGCACCACCACCATCAACAACAACAACAAGAAACTCCAATCACCGTCAACGGGAGAAACTTGAAGGAAGTAACCTCCTTCACTTATCTAGGAAGCATTGTTTCAACTACAGGCGGGACGGACGAGGACGTCAAAGTTAGAATCGGAAAAGCAAGACAGGCGTTCATTAGCCTGAAAGCAGTGTGGAGATCTTCTGCACTCAGCATGTGGAACAAGATACGGATTTTCAACACCAACGTCAAGTCAGTGCTCTTGTATGGCTCAGAGACTTGGCGCGTCACGAAAGGCATTTCCAATAAACTACAGACATTCATCAACAACTGCTTACGCTCGCTACTGAAGATCAGATGGCCAGAATAATGAGAATAAGCAACAAGGAACTCTGGAAACGAACCAACCAAGAACCTATCACGCAACAAATATGCAGGAGGAAGTGGAGATGGATTGGCCATGCACTGAGAAGGCCGACTGAGGACATCACGCGTCAGGCCAGGTACTCGAGTGGAATCCCCATGGGAAGCGACGAGTTGGACGTCCGTGGTGAGGGTGACATGGAGGAGGTCATGCGAGGAGGAAATGAGAGCTTCTGGGCTGTCGTGGAACCAGGTTCAAAAGATCTCAGAGAACAGAGGTCACTGGAGGCGTGCTACTGAAGCCCTATGTTCCACTAGGAACCCAAGGGACTAATAATAATAATAATAATAATAATAATAAAGTAATGCTGCATTTCTCTCCTATATAAACCAGTGATTTTCTTACTGATTTTGTGCATCGTGATAGGGATTTTGTCGAAAGATGTCATAATGCTTTTTTCTTGCATTCATTGATAGATTCGTTGGACGTTTCATTGCCTTGGCATTGTATCATGCCCGGTTCATTGACAGTGGATTCACCTTACCCTTTTATAAACGGATGTTAAATAAGAATCTTACTCTAGCTGATATTGAAACTGTTGACTTAGAATACTATAATTCATTGAAATTTATTCAGTAAGTTAAATATTTTGCTTGGTTCTTTTCGTTTTTTTTTGAAAGCGTTTTATCACACATTCTTTTGCCATTCATTACTTGTTGAAAGGTTTCCCAATGAAAACTAGGTAGTCTGGTATGCCTAAGACTAAAATTAATAGTCTGATATTTAGAAAGGTTTCGTTTGAGACCATTTGAGAAAGATCACTGGTCAGTTTCAGAGAGGAAACTATTTAGTTGAGGACAGTCTAAATAAGAGTTAATTATCAGCATAATACTTAATAAAATTAGTTTCAAACGCAAAGAGAAATGGGGAAAGTAATGCCCCTTGAGGCCTACCGACTTCAGTAATCAGTGAAACGAAGCGCCTCCCTCTATAAACAGTTTACTGTTTCCTTTCAGAAAAATAAGAGTGCAGCCAGTTTTTAACCCATGGTTCTGTACGAACAATGGTAATCTTATTTAACAAGGGGGGGGGTGTAAGAACAGAGTCAAAGGCTGATTCTCACGAACTAAACGCTCAGTGGTTACTTCCTGTGTTACAGATATCCTGCTGTTCTATTCGGATGCTCTGAACGTTGATGCCTACAAGATCGATAATAGGGACAAGATATCATGGATCAATTCTCCCTTGAATTCATCGTTTGGTATTCTGCTTACCAACTTCGATACACGTCAGTCTATGTTTCTTAAGATCATATGATTTCATTAGTGACTATATATATATATATATATATATATATATATATATATATATATATATATATATATACTCATTAATCAAATATCTTGACCTTCAATATTTTTTGGATGAAGACTGAACTGTTTCTGTAATTCCAATAACAGTTGCTATTGACAAATAAGTGCTTAGTCTAAATTAAAACGTCTATGACGCTGATTTCATGTGATAGCTTTGCTGTTATTCGATTACATAACCAATCGGCGATAATGAATATCTGCATACTAAAGGAAACTGATATGCCTTCAGAAGCCTAAATCAGTGTCGGGTGACGTGAGTTCAAATCTCTGAGATGACATCAGTTTCACCAACTGGTTGATATCAATCAAACTGCGCCACGATTCTGATTCTTATATCTGGGTGACCATTTGATCGATAGAATACGGTCAGAGCTTGCGTTTAAACAACATAAAATTACTGATCAACGTATTTCATATTTAATCATATGTATTCTTATCAACACATTTTATTACTGAAATCCTTTAGAGAGAGCAATATTGACGAATGTGCTCTTGATATTTACTTTGCTATGGATTATGAAATATTGGGTGAATTACGAACTCATGAATTGAAACCTGGTGGGAAAGATATTTTAGTGACAGATGAAAATAAACAAGAATATATTGAGTAAGTTTATCACTATCCCGTGGTTCATTTTTGATATGGCTTCTTTTGAAGCATTTTTGAAAATTTTTTCTGAAGCGTAATTGGTTACTGGTTAGTTTTTCTTGAAGTTTATTCAATTTCCCTTGGTGTAAAAAGTGCATGCTCTTTTTTTGAGATTAAATGCACTCAGCAGCCTTGCATCAATGAGCGACACATTGTATGAGGACTGGCTAACCGCCCAATCCTCAGTAGATAGAGCTTTGTTTGAACCCTTGACCCCCTGATTGAAAGTCACCTTTCTAAACTAATGATTTTGGTTTGTGTAGAAAATCTTTGTTTCTCTTTCGCGCAAGCAGGTGTTATGTGTACACACTCATAGCTATGAACATCTTGAACACAGAAGCACGTACAAGTAAAGAAAAGGTAAGAATATATATGTTCCATTGGCACTATAGCCTTCGATCGTCCCATCAAGAAGCTTATGCTTTCGTACACCCATCATATCAATATTCAATGACTTCATTTGTTAACCCCACTTCGTGAACTATGATTGCATCTGACTCTCTGTCGAACTAGTCTTACTTTACTGAAAAGGTAAACTAGGGTAAATGTTGCGAAACGTATGTTCCTGTTACTTCCTTATGTTGTGGATGCCACAACTTTATCAACTGACTTGCCGTCTATTATGGTGGTAAACTGATCTTGGCTTAATACTGTTTCTAACTGAATAGATCAGAACGAGAAATATATGTGATTGTAGTTCATTGAGTACGCGAACGAATGAGAAAGAACATTTACAAGCCAAATAAATAATTCTCTAGCTTTCGCTGTCATGGCTGCCCAATATAGGGTTACTGGAGAACTTGTTGTGAAGAAAATCATTTTATACTCAGGGCTACTATTAACACGTAGATTGTGTAAAAACTTTGATACAGATGTTAAAACTAGTCATTCTGATTTGTTATATTTTCATAGTTGTTCTTTCTTACGCCTACTTTATCTCAGATTTCTACATTACTCATATGGCGCGGTTACCACCTCAAATAGTTGATACTGGATCTGTGACTCATTGCTTTAGGGAGACGACCTTTTATCAGTGGGTTGCAAGTTCAAACTCTGCTCCATCTATCGAAGTTTGGCCAGCCAGGTAATATTATCAATAGCCCTCACACAATAGGTGTGGCTCACCTCCTACTGCACTAATGTCCATAAGGTTGCTTAGTACATTTCGATAGTTGATGCTACAAAGTAAACCCTAGTCAAATAACTAAAGCCTTCTCAAGGCCTTTGACGTTTATTGTCATGTTTTTTAGCCACATTTGTTCGACTATATTGCATTCAGCGTACATAAATTGGTGAAGTTTAAAAAGCCTTTGTTTATTATTAAATTTGCAGAGATTTCACTGTATACTAGTTTGCTTTTGATAACCTAAGTGATATAGAGGGTGTTTACGCGTGTGTAAAACGCATTCTAATTTCAGTAGTCGACAACACTTCACACCATCATCAACTGCACTATCTTATCTATGTACCATCACTTTTACGCATTCATTGTCTTTATTGCGCTAGTGTAGTATGTGTAGTGTCTGACCACGTATCAATGGACGACTATGCTACTCCACAGTCCCTTCTATCCTATTATGCAGCTGTGAGACATGATAGTTGAAGGTAGAAGATATGAAGAGGTTACAGGTTCTTAACCATAATTATCTTCGCAGCATTGCTGATGGATAATGGATTAATCATGTAGGCAAGGAAGGGAAATCAGTTGGTGAGTTTGTCAACCTTAAAACACTGAGGTGGTTTGGACATGTACTGCTCATGGTCAGCCACCGTCTTGCTTGACATGTGATGTTAACCGAATTAGAATTAGAACGGAAGAATGTTAGAGTTGATCTGATCAATATTTGGCACTAATGTGTGTGAAGTTTCTTACTGTTATTATGTTTAACTGGGATCCTCAAGACTGTAAGAATCAAAAGTTGGAGACTCTTCGGGATTTGTTTCAAAATCGGTCGCAATGATATAGATGTATACACTTTTTGTCTTCTTTGAAGTCTTGAATATTTTCACCAACTGTTATCTGTTTATTTTTAACCCTGATATACTTTTGTCTACTTCATTACCACTTTGCCTATTTATTCCCTCTATATATACTTCTGTGAAGTTTGGCAAGCTGATCATTAATTTTTCTATCAACATAGAACCTCGCACACTAGTCCGTAGGTTCAAGTTACTGCACTTCACAGTAATATACAAAGAACAAGTAGATAGAAAAAGATTAATATCAAAGTAGACAAAGTTTTGTGAGAGATTAAACAATTTGAAGTTAAAAATTAGTGAGAGTATTCAAGCTTTAAAAGACATCAAGGAGTGAATACATCTATGCCAGTGTGACTAATTTTCAGATATGTCACTAAGACTCCTCAACAATTAGTTTCTATGGTCTCGGGGAACCCAGTCAGATATTCTGTATCCACCCAAGTGACTCAGACCAACAGTCAGTTATTCTTTCTGTTTATAAAATATTTGAAGAGATGAGTGACTTAAAGCCTGTAACCTTGAAAGATGCAACACTTTGAATTTTTATATTTTACAGGCAGCTATACATTAATATGGAGAGTACTGTTGTGCAATGAATTCTGCTTTTAATAGACACACAAATATCTCAACTATTCGATACTTGTTTCAGGCTGTTAAATATGTGTCTTCATACTTGGATTTTGTCATTCACTTACCTTTCCGGACTATTCTTTCCATCTATAAACCTTCGTAAATCCTAACATAACATTATATGAAACAGATTGATCGATTCATCTTTTGCTAAGAACTCTAGTACACAAATCTACACTTAATGCCTAATCCATATGGTGTTGATTTGTTTGTTTTGTTGTTGTAGTATAATATTATGCGCATCACTTACTTTAACTGACTGTAATTCGCAGTCTGATTGATATTTCCTTTTCTTTTTTTCTTGGTATAACACGTAGTAAAAAGTGATGATGAGACTTGATGAAATCTCAAAATCTCAATAAACTAAAACCTTTAATGCATATGTATACATATATACTGATATGCATGTGATTTTTGTAAGTAAATTCTCTCGCTCCTTAGCCAAAGTCAATTCATCGCAGTATTGAGTGCATACGTTAGCTTTCAACCACATTACTTTCTATTGTATGAGTGGAAAATACTGGTTAGAAAAATCTTATTATTGTTATTTATCCCTTGGGTTCCTAGTGGAACATGCGGCTTCAGTAGCACATCATCATTTCACTCTCTTCGCTGCAGTCTTCTCCTTTAACCTGGCTCCACGACTATCCATAAGCTTTCATTTCTTCCTCACATGATCTCCTCCGTGTCACCCTTAGACGCTAAACTCGTCCTTTCCTACTTGGGTTCCACTCGAGGACCTGGCGAGCGACGTCCCCAAACGGTCTTCTCAGTGTATGTCCAATCCAATCCATCTCCACTTTCTTCCTCATATTTGTTTGGCGATAGGTTCTTGGTTGGTTGGTTTGTTGCCAGAGTGAGTTTCTTGTTGCTTATTTATTCTGGTTATCTGATCTTCAGTATCTAGTGTAGGCGGCAGCTGTTGATGAATGTCTGCAGTTTGTTGGAAATGCTTTTCGTAACGCGCCAAGTCTCTCAACCATCACATAGAAGCACTGACTTGATTGAATTGGTGTTGAAAATCCGGATTTTGTTGCTTATACTGAGTGCAGCGCAGTGCAGTAGATGTTCACACTGATTTCAGATTAATGAAGTTTTGTCTTGCTGTCTTTCCGATCCTGACTTTGACGTCCTCATCTGTGCCGCCTGTAGTTGAAACGGTGCTGCCCAGGTAGGTCGGTGAAAGACAACTTCCTATAGATTTCTCCCGATAATATCGATTGTTGGTTGTGACTGTTGTTGTTGTTGTTGGTTGAGTAACTTCATCACCTCTGTCTTCTCTACGTTCGCCTGAAGGAAGTCGCGTCTCCGCTTCCCTGCCTGTTCTACCAACTTGTTAGTTTTCACCTATAGATCGATCTTCGATTTTATGTGACAGACATAAATCATCGTTGGAATCCAAATCTTCTAGGGTCTTTAATCTTATCTCGGCATTATGCATATTATTTTTCTGACAAAGATCTTAATTTTACTACACTCTATTCCTGATATTACGGATTTTAGCTTGACTGGCTTTCGCTAGCTCGCATCATCTATGGCACAGCCGCGGTATCCGATTGTCGGTTAAGGGTCGTTTGTACTGTGCTACAGTTCACTCTGTTCCGCTGTATGGCTGTAAAAGATGGCCATTAGATGTAGAGTACATGAGAAGGCTTTTCGTGTTTGACTTCCAATGCTTTCATAGCATAGACTGTGTCTTAGCTTCACCATTCCAGTAAAGAAGTCAGTTGTAGAGTTGTAGGGAAGAGAGGAAATTCAGTTGATGCTGTTGCGAACCTTCATTGACCAAAATGGCTGGGATATCTGTTACGCATACCTAATCACTGTCTGTCTTGTCGTGTAATGCTGGCTGAATCAGGTTCAGGCTGACCACTGAAGATGACATCGCTCAGAATCAATGTCAGTGGCGCAGATGTATCTTTACATTTCTTCATCTAAATCGCCATATTGATTTCAGCATTTTCTCAATTCTATTTCCTCTCTTTTACTGTTTTTGACCGACTTTTCTTTATTTCTTCATATTTAATCCTACTGCTTTGTTATTTGTTGTGCTGATATTAGGTGTGACAACTTGGGTCGTTGTTCAGTAATGCCCGATCCTTTGTTGATGTTGATCGATTAGTTTTTGAAAAAAAATACTATGCCATGATTACCGAGTCAAACTAGCAGCCCTATCTGGGTCGGTTAGATTGTCGAAGTAAACAGAATTAACCAAATCTCGCATACCAGTGCTTAATTGTTATTATTATCTAGAAAATGACGCTTAATCATACATTAAGGCAGTACAAATCATCTGTACTAAAGGCCGATACAATACCATGGAAACTGAAATGGATTGCTAAATCTAG